GTTTGTAAGATGTGCCTTAACCCAATCTGAACATCTGTCCAGTGCATACAGTGTATTGCCTCAAATAATTTATGGTTGGTTGTATTACAAAGAGATCCCGTCAGTGATTCTCAGTCGTGGTCCCGGAGTACCTCTCTCTCTCTAACTTTTTTCACTTTTTTATTTGAGACCTTTTTCAAAAAAAGACTGCCCATATTCGGGTGTGTGAGCTGAAATTTAACCCCCTGGACTGAAGCAGAAGACAAGACAATGTATCACAGTGAGAGATGTCTGATACAGTCTCATTATTGTCTTTTTATAATTTTATAAGAGCTGTTTAGACAGAAATAAGGGAGAAACTTCTCAAATAGTAGGACTGCATACTAAATATCAGTGCGCTGAGGGTGTTGGAAATCATGCACATTTTAACTGGGGTATTTTTTAAACCAAAGAGTGAGTACAGAAAGAAGTCTCAACCAGCAGGCATAACCACTGGTCTGTATACTCTAGACCTTCCTGTTCTTTCCCGTTGCTTAAGACCACTACAGAGGTATAACCCTTACGTAATACTGGCAGCAAAACCTTTCACAGGGTTTTAAACAATTTTCTTTCAAGTACATTGCTGACCTTATTTTCAAAAATGCTAACAGCTAATGCATGATACAGTGCTTTGTTGCATTAACAGTGCTACCACCAGTTCAGCTGGTTGTAGTTTATTTGCTTTTTTGACTTGACAGGTAAAGTTGACACAGTTCAAGGCATTTTGCTTATACTGTATTAAGGGAAAAGTAATCTTGCTTTTCTGTCCATGCTTGCACTATGGGATCAATTACCCAGCAAGCTTGAAGGGCTTCTCATGCTCTTACGTAACAGACTCTGGCTGTTACCCATCAGAAAAGAAATAATCTACTGTGCACTGTAATCTACTGTTGTGGAAAATGACTCCATCTTTTGCAGATTGCTTTTGCACATAATGCTATCAGTGAAAAACTAGGAAAATAGGAAAACTAGCTAGGAGCTCCCCTCATGCATCTTTAGAGAGCTGAACAGCTACAGTATGTTACCATATTTTAGTGTGATCTGACATCTTAATAATAATAATAATAATTAGTAATAATTACTTACACTTATATAGCACTTTTCTGGACACTCCACTCAAAACGCTTTACAGGTAATGGGGACTCCCCTCCACCACCACCAGTGTGCAGCCCCACCTGGATGATGCGACGGCAGCCATAGTGCACCAGAACGCTCACCACACACCAGCTCTCAGTGGGGAGGAGTAATGTAGTCAATTCATAGAGGGGGTTTATTAGGAGGCCATGATTGGTAAGGGCCAATGGGACATTTGGCCAGGACACCGGGGTTACACCCCTTCTCTTTTCGAGAAACACCCTGGGATTTTTAATGACCACAGAGAGTCAGGACCTCGGTTTTACGTCTCATCCGAAGGACGACGCCTGTTTACAGTATAGTGTCCCCGTCACTATACTGGGGCATTAGGACCCACATGGACCGGAGGGAGAGTGCCCCATGCTGGCCCCACTAACATCTTACATTGCGTGGAGAAGGGATTCTTCTGAAAAGAGAAATACAGGCACATTCCCAGCTGCAAGAATACCTCTTCATAATGTGATGTTTCGTCTTTCCTCGCTTGTGTGTGGCTCTGCTATGTGGGGAGATGTTTTTTTAGTTTTACTGCCATTTGTGGTGCCCGTTGACAAAGGTCAGGTCAGGGGTGCTCTCTTCCTCCTGTTGCCT